GGGGGGGGGGGCGCAGATGCCACTTCCTCCGGGGGCGTCCATGGCCGGCAGCCCTTAGATGGCCCGGCCCAGGCGGCCCAGCGTCTCCGCCGCCTTCGCCCGCACCGTTGCGACGGGGTCCTTCAGCAGCACCGTCAGAGCTGGGAGAGAGGAGCGGCCGTCAGCCAAGGGGGTCGCCCAGGCCCTGCGCCTCCCTCCCTTCACGCAACCCCCCCCCAGCCGTGGCTGAAAGCCAAGCCCGGAGGGAAGCCCGCCTCTCGGGGGGCCCCGGGGCCCCGGGCACCCTTGGCCCAGGCGGCGGCAGCAGGCGGGGAGGGCTCCGTGGGCCGTCCAGGGCTGCTGCTCTGCCTGCGCCTGGCCCGGGCCCAGCTGCCGAGCAGGCGAGGGGCCAGCAGTGCCTCCCGAGCAGCAGAGATACAATAATATTTTTCCAGTAGCATGTTTACACTGCAAATCCGAGCCTCTCCCGTCCCGCCAGAGCAGCCAGCGAGAGAGCGAGCGAGAGAGACGGTCTGATTTATGCACGGCGCTGCTTCCCGTCCATCAGCCCCGGCCAGCTGCAGGAGCTGGAGGGGGCGGTGGAGGGGGAGGGGGGGGTTGGCAGCCTGAGCGCTCCCTCTCGCACTCAAGACGGGAAGCTGTGGCGACCCCATCCGGAGTCCTTGCCGCTCCCCCCACCCCCCCCTGCACAGACGGGCCTCTCTCCGGGACGGCTCCACCAGCCAACGGAAAGATAGTTTTCCCTTTTTTAGTGGTTTTTAAGCTCCGTTGGAAAACTCAGAGATTTTCCAAGCCTTCCTCTAAGCGGTGAGGTCACTGCTGACAAGGGAAAACCAGGGCGGGGGGGGCCGAGGGGGGAGTCCAGGAAAGTTTATTACCTAACTGGATTCTCCGGCTGGTTTTGGAGAGGCAACCCTGAGGGGAGGAGGAAGCTGCACCGCACGCAGGGACGTGGCCCTGATCCCCTCCACCCTGGGCTAGCCAAGGGCAGGGGGGCTGCCCCACCCCCTTCGCCCAGGACGGTGCCCCATGCGGGACCGTTTCCCCTTCGTGCTCTGCGTGGACGTGGCCAGCCCTCTGATGCAGCCCCCAGGGAGGCTTCCCTCCCTAATGTGGGTGGGGGCCTTTCTCGGGACCCCCAGCCGGCTCCCTCTGCAGTTCCTACCCAGCATCCACGGGAGCGCCTCCCTCCCTCCCTCCCTCCCTCCCTCCCTCGCTCACTCACCCGCGATCAGTTCGTCCAGCTCCAGCTGCTGGCTCTGCTCTCGGTCCGCGTGGAGGATCAAGAAGCCTTCGAGGGGAAGAGAGGAGGCCCCTTGAGTCCCACGGATGAGCTCGGGGGGGCCCCATCCAGGAGAGCCCAGGGAGGGAGGCCCACGTGGCCCTTCTCACCTACAAACATGGGGGCAGCCGCTCGGACGTCGGGCCAGCTGCTCTTGAAGTAGAAAAGGTTGATGCTGACCAACCGACTCAGCATTTCTGGGAAGTTCTGCATCTGGGCCAGAGGGAAGGAAGGAAGACCAGCTGGCACCCAGGGAGACCCCCGGCCAGGGCGGCCGTTCAAGGGGCCACCCAGCGCCGCGTCGTCCGAAACTTTCTCTCTGGGGCAAGGAGGGGCCATTTCCGCCCAGGAGGCTCAGCCACAAAGCCGGAGAAGCCTAGGGTGCCTTCGGGCCTCCTCCTGACCGCCCCCCCC